TTTTGAAACTGGCATCTTTTTTAATTTGCGTGAAATTGGCCAAATTGCCAATTTCTGACTTTATTAGGTAGTTCAAATCGGTAAATGGGCGGTTTCTGGTACTCAACCGAGAGAAAAAATGGAGTTCTAAAGAATTTGCTATGAGTTTGGTCAACTGGAACAACGGAATTGGCCAAAAACAGGGCTCAAATTTGGCGAAATCACCGATGCACATGTCGCTGAGACCGCTAAGTTCACGGGAGCGTAATTCCGTGAGTTTCTGATCAAATTTCGTACTTTTGGTGTTATTACCATCGGGAAAAGATTCTCTATCATTTCATAAAAAAATAATTTTTTTTTTTTCAAAAATTTTGCGACATACTTTACCTGGAGAGAGTTCCGGGGGTCAACACCCCCACGGCCCGGTCTGTGACCAGGCCTCCTGGTGGATCAGAGCCAGGCTGTTACTGCTGGCTGCACGCAATCCAACGTATGAGCACAGCCCGGCTGGTCAGGTACCGACTTCAGGTGCTTGTCCAGTGCCAGCTTGAAGACAGCCAGGGGTCTATTGGTAATCCCCCTTATGCATCCAGGGAGGCAGTTGAACAGTCTCGGGCCCCCTGACACTTACTGTATTGTCTCTCAACGTGCTAGTGACACCCCTGCTTTTCATTGGGGGATGTTGCATCGTTTGCCGAGTCTTTTGCTTTTGTTGCGAGTGATTTTCATGTGCAAGTTCGGTACTAGTCCCTCTAGGATTTTCCAGGTGTATATAATCATGTATCTCTCCCGCCTGCATTCCAGGGAGTACAGGTTCAGGAACTTCAAGCGCTCCCAGTAACTGAGATGTTTTATCTACGTTAAGCGCTGTGAAGGTTCTCTGTACATTTTCTAGGTCAGCAATTTCACCTGCCTTGAAAGGTGCTGTTAGTGTGCAGCAATATTCCAGCCTAGATAGAACAAGTGACCTGAAGAGTGTCATCATAGGCTTGGCATCCCTAGTTTTGAAGGTTCTCATTATCCATCCTGTCATTTTTCTAGCAGATGCGACTGATACAATGTTATGGTCCTTGAAGGTGAGATACTCCGACATGATCACTCCCAGGTCTTTGACGTTGGTTTTTCGCTCTATTTTGTGACCAGAATTTGTTTTGTACTGTGATGAAGTTTTAATTTCCTCATGTTTACCATATCGGAGCAACTGAAATTTTACATCGTTGAACTTCATATTGTTTTCTGCAGCCCACTTGAAAGATTTGGTTGATGTCCGCCTGGAGCCTTGCAGTGTCTGCAATGGAAGACACTGTCATGCAGATTCGGGTGTCATCTGCAAAGGAAGACATGGTGCTGTGGCTGACATCCTTGTCTATGTCAGATATGAGGATGAGAAACAAGATGGAAGCGAGTACTGTGCCTTGTGGAACAGAGCTTTTCACCGTAGCCGCCTCGGACTTTACTCTGTTGACTACTACTATTTGTGTTCTGTTTGTGAGGAAATTATAGATCCATCTACCAACTTTTCCTGTTATTCCTTTAGCATGCATTTTGTGCGCTATTACTCCATGGTCACATTTGTCGAAGGCTTTTGCAAAGTCTGTATATATTACATCTGCATTCTTTTTGTCTTCTAGTGCATCTAGGACCTTGTCGTAGTGATCCAGTGGTTGAGACAGACAGGAGCGACCTGCTCTAAACCCATGTTGCCCTGGGTTGTGTAATTGATGGGTATCTAGATGGGTGGCGATCTTGCTTCTTAGGACTCTTTCAAAGATTTTTATGATATGGGATGTTAGCACTATCAGTCTGTAGTTCTTTGCTATTGCTTTACTGCCCCCTTTGTGGAGTGGGGCTATGTTGTTTTTAGTAACTGTGGGACGACCCCCGTGTCCATGCTGCCTCTCCATAGGATGGTAAAAGCTCGTGATAGGGGCTTCTTGCAGTTCTTGATGAACACGGAGTTCCATGAGTCTGGCCCTGGGGCAGAGTGCATGGGCATGTCATTTATCACCTGTTTGAAGCCATTTGGCGTCAGGATAACATCAGATAGGCTTGTGTTAACCAAATTCTGTGGCTCTCTCATAAAAAATTCATTTTGATCTTCGACTCTCAGTCTGGTTAGCGGCTTGCTAAAAACTGAGTCATATTGGGACCTGAGTAGCTCACTCATTTCCTTGCTGTCATCTGTGTAGGACCCATCTTGTTTAAGTAGGGGACCAATACTGGATGTTGTTCTCGACTTTGATCTGGCATGAGAAAAGAAATACTTTGGGTTTCTTTCGATTTCATTTATGGCTTTTAGTTCTTCCCGCAATTCCTGATTCCTGTAAGATTCCTTTAGCTCAAGTTCGATGTTTGCTATTTCTCTGACCAGTGACTCCCTACGCATTTCAGATATATTGGCCTCTTTTAACTGCTCTGTTATTCTTTTCCGTCACCTGTAAAGGGAGCACCTGTCTCTTTCTATTTTACATCTACTCCTCCTTTTTCTTAAAGGAATAAGCCTCGAGCATACATCGAGTGCCACAAGTTAATCTGTTCTAGGCAGAAGTTGGGGGTCTATGTTGCTTAGTCTATCTTCCCAGCTTATATCGTTTAGGACTTGGTTTACTTGGTCCCACTTTGTTCTTGTTATTGAAACTGAATTTAGTGAAATTTCCCTCCTGACTAATCTCATTTTGTCGGTCTGGGGCTCCACGCATACATGTCTGAACCTCGATTATGTTGTGATGTGAGTACATTGTTTTTGATATGGTGACATTTCGTATCAGATCATCACTGCTAGTGAAGATGAGGTCTAGTATATTCTCCAGTCTAGTAGGCTCTATTATTTGCTGGTTTAAGTTTAATTTTGTGCAGAGATTTAAAAGCTCGTGTGTGTGTGAGTTCTTGTCAGAGCTGCCTCCTGGTGTTATCACTGCAACAACATTATTTGCTGTATTCCTCCAATTTAGGAGCCTCAAGCTGAAATCCCCCAGGAGCAAGATGTTGAGGGCAAGAGCTAGAAGATTTTCCAGACAGTGGCCAATTTTTAACAGCTGTTCCTGGAATTGCTGGGACACTGCATCCGGAGGTTTGTAGACTACCACAATGACTAGGTTTTGGTTCTCGATCTTTACTGCTAAAACTTCCACTACATTATTTGAGGCATTAAGCAGTTCTGTGCAATAAGTGACTCTGCGATATACAGCCCCCCCTTTTGCCTGTTCGCTCTGTCGCATCTGTATAAGTTGTAACTTGGGATCCATATTTTGTTGTCCAAGTGATGCTTTATGTGGGTCTCTGTGAAAGCCGCGAACATTGCATTTGTCTCTGCAAGCAGTCCACAGATGAAAGGTATTTTGCTGTTCATTGCTGGCTTTAGATCTTGTATATTTGCAAAGGAGAATGTCATCGGACTGGTGGTATTGGTGGTACTGGGGAAGGGGGGGGAAGGATTCCAGTACAGTTTCAGGAAGGGGCTTGCAACAGTCAAAGGGTTAACTGACAAATCTATTCATTCCCTAGGCTTTCTTAACTTGTTTATCTCGCTCCAAAATTTTTTCTTATTTTCATCAAAATTTCTTGACAGTGCCTCTCTCACTCTATCATCTGCTCTCCTTTTGTGCACTCTCTTCACCTTTCTTTTACTCTCCATATACTCTGCTCTTCTTATAACACTTTTGGTTTGTAAAAACCTCTCATAAGCTACCTTTTTCTCTTTTATCACACTCTTTACTTCATCATTCCACCAATCACTCCTCTCTCCTCCTGCACCCACCCTCCTATAGCCACAAACTTCTGCCCCACATTCTAATACTGCATTTTTAAAAATATTCCAACCCTCTTCAATCCTCCCACTACTCTAATCAGATAAATATAGTTAACACTAATGTAGACGGGCTATTATTATATTTAGGGGAAAATGCTACAACCCATATGGTTCAAACAATGCCAAGGAAAGGGAAACAATCAGGTTCAATCCAAGATAGGGAAGGACAAGCCCAATTCCTAGGATTGAGTCCCTCACCAACATCAATGAACTATCTTTAACAGGGGAATTTGAACAAAAAAAAAATGAGAAACATCATATTCTCTGCAGTGGGCAGAATTTTTGTATACTGTGCATTCACTGCACAGACCCAATCTCTCATATCTAAGCCAAAATTTACCACTCACAGCTCATCTGACTGAGCTGAGCTCATGACGTTGAACTACATGAGGGACCCTGGCCTTAATGACGTAATACGTGACAACCACTGAAAGGGTTAAGAAAAAGAGGATAAGTAGATAAAGTAAGATACAAGGTGTAATGACAGCAGTTTGCTGGACTATGTAATGGGTAGATTTCTGGAAATGCATGTTTACAGGGAGGGCAAGAGATATCAGATCATTACTTAGTTATAGCTACAGAGCAAAAGGTAGAGGGTGTACAAGAATAATGGCATCAGTGACTAATATAGAAGTTAAAAAAGTGACTAATATAGAAGTTAAAGTTTATAAATTAATGGAGGAGGTAGTTTGGGCAAGGTACAAGCAACTGTTGAAAGATGGGCTAGTAAGAATATAAGTAATGAGGAGGTTGAAGAGGTATGGGGTAGATTTAAGAATGTGGTGTTAGTGTGAAGCAGAAGTTAGTGGATATAGCAGGATGGACGAAAGGAGGAAGAAGATTGATTGGTGGAATGATGAAGTAGAGTGTGGGGTTAGGTACATAAAAGGTTTTTACGATATGAGGAAGCTGAGTATATGGAGGGTTAAAGAGAGGTTAAGAGTGGTGACGGAGTGTTAAAGGGGAGCAAATGAGAGTGAGTGAGGATGCCAACAAATTTTGCTGAGAGTAAGAAATTCTGGAGCAAGATTGTTGAGAAAGACTAGGGAACAAATGTATTTAACAGTTAAAACAGAAGAGGGGAATTATTAGATAGGGAGATGAAGGTACTGGGAACAAAACTTACTGCAATTGTCACTTCATCTCAGCTGAAAAATATTAGATAAAGTTGAAAAGACTCGAATAATAAAACAAAATATCAGTACAAACTTACATAACTGCCTGCTTGAAGACATCATAGGCACAAGCTTGCTTCTTATATTTTTCTTCGAAGTGCCAAGCTGTTGTACGATACAGCTCTTCAACCTGCTCTTCGATTGTGTAACCGAGCAATTCCCCAACATGTCTAATAATAGAGTTGACAGCTTTCGCTTTTGCAAATTTCTCTGTACACCGTTCCACATCTTCTTTAGAAACTCTTCTTTTGGAAAGATCAATATAACCTGTTTTAAAAAATGTAATTCAATATCTTTAAGTATATTTTTGTAAGAATAATTAGACTGCTAAGGAGACTGTTAGAGTAACAAAATTGCCAAAGATGACTATGAACTCTAGCAAAAAATTAAATAATACTGATGAGTATAATGAATACAATCAATGTTGATAAACAAGATACATGTGGAGTATGCTAGACCTAGATAAAAGTGATTCATTCAAGTTTTCTGTGGATACAAAATTATGATTCCAATGTATACGTGTGCTTAAATGCCAAATAACATTGTGGGAAAAATGAGATAGAAATTAAATGCAATTTGGATTATTTGACCAGATGGTTTGTAAGCAAGGATAATCCACTGGGGTCCTATGGTCCTCTTTCTCAGGATGCAACCCACAACAGTAGGCCTACACCTGGGTGAACAAAGGTAATAATCGGTGTAAGGAAACATGCTCCACTTCCCCACATGCCCTAGGATTATTTACGGGTGTTTTGGTTATGAATCAAAGGTGCTACCACTGAGCACCATGGAACAGAATTTACATAATGGAATGGTTTTGAGATTTGTAGCAAAGTGAAGTAATTAACCGAAATATTTGGTACTTAAACACAAAAATGGCCATATTCTTTGTAACCATCACAATACATATATTCCTGATAAGAACAAGGCACAGATTCTATAGGTATACATACAAATAAACTATTTAAAAAGTAGAAATAACGTAATAGTAAGCTATGAATAAAAAAAATAGTAACACTGGACAGTAATCTAAGCAATTTTTTTTTTTAAAATACCACCATGAATATATGAGCATAGTACCTTTCTCCTTGTCTACTCGTATGACTACAACTGGTTCAGTCTTGCCAACCCTGATCAACTTATTCATGGATCGGATTCGTCGTCTTGAGAGTTCTGACAAGAGAATCATACCCTCTATGTTGTTGTACTCTAGCAAGTGAACATAGGCACCCATCTCAGCTATGCTTCTCACAGTTACCATTACTACATCATCCACTTCGGGATACTTCTGTGAGTAGTATCTACAGAATAGTGGCATCTTGAAGGTTTTATTCTTGTATTCTGCAATAGAAAAACTCCGGCTTAGCCAGAATGCCTACAGTATCTTCATGCAGTCTCGAATTTAATGAGCCAAGATACTAATGATGATAAGAAAAGGATTGATGGATATTGCAGACTGATGTATACAGAAGACTGTACCATTATAAAATAATAATAATAGTAAATGACAGTGAATATGTTAAATATAGGCTGGACTGGTGGATGTGGTGGTACCTCAGGATACGAACAGCTCAAAACACAAACAATTATGTAAGTGCTTTTGTAAGTGTATTTTGGGGGTCTGGAATGGATTAATCTAATTTACATTATTCCTTGTGGGAACAAATTCGTTCGGTACCATCACTTGAACAGCCTTCTGGAACAAAATAAGTTTGTATCCCGAGAAAGATCCTGTTTATGCAGAGCATTTTGGGCAAATTAGGTCAACTTTGTCCCCAGGACGCAACACAGCTACTAGTCGACTAACACCCACATACCTATTTTACTGATAGGTGAACATGAACAGATGTCTTAAGAGAGCACATCCTTAAGTTTCCACTTATACTGGGGATCGAACCATGGACCAATAAGCCTACTGCATTCTTATATATTTGCTTGTAACAATGCTACAGTAGGAGCTTGTCATCTGGAATCTGAATACTGAAATATGAAGCATTTCAGTACAAAACAGTTACAAAAAGTAATAACACGGAAGTAGCCCTGAACCAACTTTTCTCAAGCAATGAAAAAAAAATATGTTTCCTGATCACCTTCCTCTTAGCTTTATCTTTACACCAGGCCCAGTGGCCTGGAGGCTAAAGCTCTCGCTTCACACACGGAGGGCCCAGGTTTGACTCCCGGCTGGTGGAAATATTTCAATGTGTTTCCTTCCAGCTGTTGTTTTGTTCACCTAGCAGCAAATAGGTACCTGGGTTTAGTCGACTGGTGTGGGTCGCATCCTGGGGGACAAGACTGAGGACCCCAATGGAAATAAGTTAGACAGTCCTTGATGACACCGACTTTCTTGGGTTATCCTGGGTGGCTAACCCTCCGGGGCTAAAAATCCGAACGAAATCTTATCTATCAGTTTTACAGGCTAAGACTTGTTACCTAACCTCAGCTCATTTCAAAGGCCAGTCCCTAAAGTATACTACAACCTTCCAGGCTGCGACCCACAAGCTAACACCTAGGTACCTATTTACTGCTAGGTGAACAGGGGCAACAAATGCAAGGAAACGTGCCTAGTTTCCACCCGTGCCGGGGATCGAACCCTGGATCCCAGACCCCAGTGTCAGCTGAGTGGCTACAAATGACTTACAAGAAACTTTTTATCTATGGTCACAAAAGCGGTTTCTCCGTCGAAACCAGCAACCGCATTTTTAGCTGCTTGAAATAAATCATAATGTAGTCCACTCTTTTACATTAATATCTATATATAAAGAAAGATAAGAGCAACACATGTTCCAGTGTGACATCTGTGTCACAGCAGTGGTGCTCCCTCTCACTCACAACTTTCACAAAGGTCTCTTCTCTCTCACTTCAACTACTACAGGGCAAATATCTCTGACTCTAACTGACATACAACCTATGATCCATCATTCTGTAAAGATTTAGGCCTGACACCGACAAGTGAAGGGCTGTCATAGAGTAATACTCCCACCTTAAATGACAACACATCTGTAGTGCCGGTCACACGCTGATGACACTGACCACTGGAACGTGGAACGCAACACACTATTATATTTTCTTTCTGTTGCCACTAAGTTATTTACACAGGAGAATGACAACATTATTCTCGATACCAAAACTAAAGTTTAACATTTGAACTATAATTTATTATTTTCTAAAGTGGCTCTTAGCAAAGAAAATTTTCGATCAAACTGAAATACAATAGTTTGGGAACTCTTCCCTCGCGGCTGATGCAATACTACATATGAAGATACACCTTAATAAATTAAATTTATTTAAATGTTTGCGTTAAGTGCAAAGTATATGTATGTATGTATATATAATTTTTTTCAACAAATCGGCCGTCTCCCTCCGAGGGAGAGTAACCCAAAAAACAGGGAACATTTTCATCATCACTCACTCCATCACCTAGTCTTGACAGAGGGGCGCCCAAACTAAAATTCAAAACTGCAGTAGAGATGATAATAATGTACTCACCTAGTTGAGGTTGCAAGGGCCGAGTCCTAGCTCCTGGCCCCGCCTCTTCACTAGTCGCTACTAGGTCACTCTCCCTGAACCGTGAGCTTTATCATACCTCTGCTTAAAGCTATGTATGGATCCTGCCTCCACTACATCGCTTCTCAAACTATTCCACTTACTGACTACTCTGTGGCTGAAGAAATGCTTCCTAACTACTCTGTGGCTGAAGAAATACTTCCTAACATCCCTGTGATTCATCTGTCTTCAACTTCCAACTGTGACCCCTTGTTGCTGTGTCCCATATCTCGAACATCCTGTCTTTGTCCACCTTGTCAATTCCTCTCCGTATTTTGTATGTCGTTATCATGTCCCCCCTATCTCTCCTGTCCTCCAGTGTCGTCAGGTCGATTTCCCTTAACCTCTCCTTGTAGGACATACCCCTTAGATCTGGGATTAGTCTTGTTGCAAACCTTTGCACTTTCTCTAGTTTCCTTTCTTGCCATATAGGACAAGTGAAAATTTGTGTATGCAATAATTTCGCCAAAATCATTCTGAACCTGACGAAAAATATATATTTCACTGTGTTTGTTTAGTATTAAATTATTGTAAGCAAATCTAAAATATATTTAGTTGGGTTAGGCTAAAATAAATTGTTCTTGTTATAATAAGGTTAGGTAAGTTTTCTAAGATTCTTTTAGTGCAAAATTATAAATTTTTACATTAACATCAATGAAAAAAATATATCTTTAAACGTATAAGAGAAAATTTTAGAAAGGACTTAAATTTTTTAAATGAGTTCTTGCTAATTGACCAGTTTTACATATTCGGTACGACATATAAATATATATATATATATATATATATATATATAAATATATATATATATATATATATATATATATATATATGTCGTGCCGAATATGTAAAACTGGTCAATTAGCAAGAACTCATTTAAAATTAAGTCCTTTCTGAAATTTTCTCTTATACGTTTAAAGATATATTTTTTTTCATTAATGTTAATGTAAAAAATTTTAATTTCGCACCAAAAGAATCTTAGAAAACTTACCTAACCTTATTATAACAAGAGCAGTTTATTTTAGCCTAACCCAACTAAATATATTTTAAATACGTTTACAATAATTTAGTACTAAACAAACACAATCAAATATATTTTTTTCGTTAGGTTCAGAATGATTTTGGCGAAATTATTGCATACACAAATTCTCACTTGTCCTATATGGCAAGATGAACGTTGCTATTTAAGCCAAGATCGCAAGTTCTGCCTATTCGGCAAGACTATATATATATATATATATATATATATATGGATTATGTATTGGTTGGATTATGGTTGGATTATGTATTGGTAGATAAAAGACTGTTGAGTAGACTTCAGGATGTACATGTTTATAGAGGGGCCACAGATATATCAGATCACTTTCTAGTTGTAGCTACACTGAGAGTAAAAGGTAGATGGGATACAAGGAGAATAGAAGCATCAGGGAAGAGAGAGGTGAAGGTTTATAAACTAAAAGAGGAGGCAGTTAGGGTAAGATATAAACAGCTATTGGAGGATAGATGGGCTAATGAGAGCATAGGCAATGGGGTCGAAGAGGTATGGGGTAGGTTTAAAAATGTAGTGTTAGAGTGTTCAGCAGAAGTTTGTGGTTACAGGAAAGTGGGTGCAGGAGGGAAGAGGAGCGATTTGGGGGAATGATGATGTAAAGAGAGTAGTAAGGGAGAAAAAGTTAGCATATGAGAAGTTTTTACAAAGTAGAAGTGATGCAAGGAGGGAAGAGTATATGGAGAAAAAGAGAGAAGTTAAGAGAGTGGTGAAGCAATGTAAAAAGAGAGCAAATGAGAGAGTGGGTGAGATGTTATCAACAAATTTTGTTGAAAATAAGAAAAAGTTTTGGAGTGAGATTAACAAGTTAAGAAAGCCTAGAGAACAAATGGATTTGTCAGTTAAAAATAGGAGAGGAGAGTTATTAAATGGAGAGTTAGAGGTATTGGGAAGATGGAAGGAATATTTTGAGGAATTGTTAAATGTTGATGAAGATAGGGAAGCTGTGGTTCGTGTATAGGGCAAGGAGAATAACATCTTGTAGGAGTGAGGAAGAGCCAGTTGTGAGTGTGGGGGAAGTTCGTGAGGGAGTAGGTAAAATGAAAGGGGTAAGGCAGCCGGATTGATGGGATAAAGATAGAAATGTTAAAAGCAGGTGGGATATAGTTTTGGAGTGGTTGGTGCAATTATTTAATAAATGTATGGAAGAGGGTAAGGTACCTAGGGATTGGCAGAGAGCATGCATAGTTCCTTTGTATAAAGGCAAGGGGATAAAAGAGAGTGCAAAAATTATAGGGGGATAAGTCTGTTGAGTGTACCTGGTAAAGTGTATGGTAGAGTTATAATTGAAAGAATTAAGAGTAAGACGGAGAAAGATAGCAGATGAACAAGGAGGCTTTAGGAAAGGTAGGGGGTGTGTGGACCAGGTGTTTACAGTGAAACATATAAGTGAACAGTATTTAGATAAGGCTAAAGAGGTCTTTGTGGCATTTATGGATTTGGAAAAGGCGTATGACAGGGTGGATAGGGGGGCAATGTGGCAGATGTTGCAAGTGTATGGTGTAGGAGGTAGGTTACTGAAAGCAGTGAAGAGTTTTTACGAGGATAGTGAGGCTCAAGTTAGAGTATGTAGGAAAGAGGGAAATTTTTTCCCAGTAAAAGTAGGCCTTAGACAAGGATGTGTGATGTCACCGTGGTTGTTTAATATATTTATAGATGGGGTTGTAAGAGAAGTAAATGCGAGGGTCTTGGCAAGAGGCGTGGAGTTAAAAGATAAAGAATCACACACAAAGTGGGAGTTGTCACAGCTGCTCTTTGCTGATGACACTGTGCTCTTGGGAGATTCTGAAGAGAAGTTGCAGAGATTGGTGGATGAATTTGGTAGGGTGTGCATAAGAAGAAAATTAAAGGTGAATACAGGAAAGAGTAAGGTTATGAGGATAACAAAAAGATTAGGTGATGAAAGATTGAATATCAGATTGGAGGGAGAGAGTATGGAGGAGGTGAACGTATTCAGATATTTGGGAGTGGACGTGTCAGCGGATGGGTCTATGAAAGATGAGGTGAATCATAGAATTGATGAGGGAAAAAGAGTGAGTGGTGCACTTAGGAGTCTGTGGAGACAAAGAACTTTGTCCTTGGAGGCAAAGAGGGGAATGTATGAGAGTATAGTTTTACCAACGCTCTTATATGGGTGTGAAGCGTGGGTGATGAATGTTGCAGCGAGGAGAAGGCTGGAGGCAGTGGAGATGTCATGTCTGAGGGCAATGTGTGGTGTGAATATAATGCAGAGAATTCGTAGTTTGGAAGTTAGGAGGAGGTGCGGGATACCAAAACTGTTGTCCAGAGGGCTGAGGAAGGGTTGTTGAGGTGGTTCGGACATGTAGAGAGAATGGAGCGAAACAGAATGACTTCAAGAGTGTATCAGTCTGTAGTGGAAGGAAGGCGGGGTAGGGGTCGGCCTAGGAAGGGTTGGAGGGAGGGGTAAAGGAGGTTTTGTGTGCGAGGGGCTTGGACTTCCAGCAGGCATGCGTGAGCGTGTTTGATAGGAGTGAATGGAGACAAATGGTTTTTAATACTTGACGTGCTGTTGGAGTGTGAGCAAAGTAACATTTATGAAGGGATTCAGGGAAACCGGCAGCCGGACTTGAGTCCTGGAGATGGGAAGTACAGTGCCTGCACTCTGAAGGAGGGGTGTTAATGTTGCAGTTTAAAAACTGTAGTGTAAAGCACCCTTCTGGCAAGACAGTGATGGAGTGAATGATGGTGAAAGTTTTTCTTTTTCGGGCCACCCTGCCTTGGTGGGAATCGGCCGGTGTGATAAAAAAAAAAAAAAAAAAAAAAAAAATATATATAATATATATATATATATATATATATATATATATATATATATATATATATATATATATTATATATATATATATAAAACAATACTGCGACTAGTCAAGGAGTCGAACCCATGATGCTTTGGCCTGCCTCATGGTGGGCGAAAACTCATGACGCCTTAATCCACGAGACAACACAATCTTTAAGAGTAGTGCATCCAGCAGAACTGGATGTTGTACTTGTCACCCAAGGACATACGGTGGTGTGGATGACTATAGGCTAATTTCATTCTACTCCCTGTTTGGTGTACTAGTACAACGAGCAGTATTTTATATTACTGTACCCATGAACAAGTGGTATTGATCAATAACAACACTGCGACTAGTTAAGGAGTTAAACCCATGCTGCTTTGGCCTGCTTCATGGTGGGCGAAGACTCTCTCACACACACACACACGTTGAACTATAAGAAGGCATTTGACACAGTTCCACACATTAGTGCAAAGCTGGATGACCAGGCAGGGATAACAGGGAAGGCACTACAATGGATCAAGGAATACCTGTCAGGAAGACAGCAGCGAGTCATGGTACGCGGCGAGGTGTCAGAGTGGGCACCTGTGACGAATGGGGTTCCACCGGGGTCAGTCCTAGGACCAGTGCTGTTTCTGGTATTTGTGAACGACATGACAGAAGGAATAGACTC